AGGACGCCACTCTTTCTCTTTCCTCATGTATACGACCTTGTCGTATTCCAAATTGATGCTAGGACATGCGCTCTCTCTGTAACCGTCTAGCTTCTTTTGCTTCACAAATACCATCTTCAGCATAGGAAGTCTGGAGAAATAGCGGCTAACATGAGCACAAAATGAGAAAGTAGAAACGACCGTATTGTTGTTCTGCATAGGTAGTTGTATACACAAACCGTCTTATCCCCAGAGACGCCCACTGGATACCCACAAACCTAATACCATGCCTTGTTTTCTACGACTTACCTAACACCCAAAGCTCTCCGTTGCTGCTCGTATCACTCGTCATGAACAGCCTTCCCTGGGAGTCCCAAGCCAAACCTGCAGGTCTGAAGCAACCCGAGCTAAAACTTGGTCCATTGCCCTGGCATCTCTCCACAGCCGGATTGTAGAAGATGTCCTTGGCAGCTGTAGTACTAGTCAAAGGCTCAACTGGCGTATAATTCCCATCAGTACCGACTTTAAATTGCACGGCGACAAGCTTGAAACCGGTAACGGGATTGCGGTTCCAGCTACCGTGGTAAGTGATGTACATGGTGGTGCTGTCGGCATCGAACTTGCAATCGATAGGTGCGGAGTGGGGGAATAACGTCAGCTTGGGAGGTGTAGCCTTTTGAACGCAGGTGTCATCGTTCATGCTCGTGCTTGGTTGTTGGACGAAGAAGTCGCCGACTTTGAATGTCTTGTCGGTGAAGTCACTGGGTTTCCAGACGGTAAAGCAGGATGGATAGCCGTACCAGTTTTCATTGGGTTTGGTGATGTCTCCCATATAGTGGATCTTCTCGCCGGGGTTGTCTTGGTGTATGTCTTTTCCGTTGCGCTTGAAGTCGTCGCCGCTGTTCTCTACGCCCCAAAGCCTGTTACGATCATTAGTTCTCAACGCACATACTTCACCATGAGTGGTGCTTACATGTTGTTCTTATCAAAGCAGATTCCCACATCATTACGTTGTCCATATCCAGCGTTGTATCCGCCAGACACATAGTTGTACCCTCCGCTAGGGACCTTTGACAAGTCGAACACCTTGATGATAGCGCGGCCAGTCTTGGGATCCGACGTAGCAGAGTCAATATTTGCGTTGGATCCATGGGAGACCACCAGCAAGTTCGGGTTCTGTGGCGCAATGGCAAGAGTACGAGTCAGATGGGAGCCGCCATTGTACATGCCGGTGACGATAGTCGCTCTAGTACCCAGTGTACCCGCAGCGGCATCGTATGGCCAAGAATAAGCTTGAGTCATGGAGCTCGCATACAGCGTCTTGCCGTCAGGACTCATTGCGATACCATGGTTCAGGTTGTTCTGCGAGACCAGCATCTTGGTGGAAGTGATGCAGCCGTCTGAGCCCATCTTATGGTACGAGATACCCTTGCCAGATTGAACGACCAACATATTCCCAGCACTGTCAAATTGAATGCTGCGAGGACTGGTCAAGCCTCCTGCAATCTTTGTGGCCTTCCATCCAGCCGCAAGACTGCCCTGGAATGCAGGGTTGCCAGCGCCAGAACACGAGGCTGGGATGGCAGCAGGCGCTGCTGGCTTTAACGTCGCAGACGCAGACGGTACGACGCTTGTCACGACAGTGGTCGGAGCAGCGGAAGGTGTGGCTACAGGCGCCGTCAGCAGGTTAGTCTTGACCAAAGAATCGAAATTATCGATGCGAGCAGCGTCTAGGTTGTGGATCCATTTCCCCCAGGCCTGGTGGACGTTGAAAGCGGAATCGTTTCGGGCAGAATCCTCGACCGAAGAGACACCGTAAGCCCAGGCGAACTCTGTTGTACTGGTGCCGTTGAGCGCATATCTTGTGTCTTCGCTGTTTTGCCATCCAGTGCAGCCTTTGCATAGCGCATTGACTGTCCAGTGCGTTGCGTTTGTTTTTGTGCCTTTGAGGTATGTATGCTCGGCTCCATCATACCCCTGCGGCAAGCCAATACTGCTGTGTTGAGTTAGTAACGTGCTCGTAAACCTTGGAGATACGACATACAAAGCGAAGCGAGCAGAGATAGTCCCAGATTGGCCATTAGGCCAAGCAACGCTCAACGGGTTCCAGACCATAGTACCTCCCCATGAGAAACCGACCCATTGGTTGGCGATCGGTGCGGTGATCCTAATGATGGCATCATACGGGTCCGTAACATTCTTTGGAAGAGCAACACCAAATGACATCCCTGTTTCTGGCTCCGTGTACGACGAATAACTGATCTTCGTTTCTGAATCGTAGACAACAGTAGACTGTGCCTCACCTTCTTGAGCAAGAGCTTCATCAATGTCAGTATCGTCCGTTCACTTGAAGACCACACTGACCATAACCGCCAAGTGCAGCAGCACTACCAAGAATCTGAGTGTAACGCATAATGGTGGGTTCCGTGGCTAGGTGGCACGTATCTAGACGTTTGTAGCTGCCACTCAGGAGGCCTTGTCCAACTCTTTATGCAACCACATCCAACATCCATCGTGGTAATAGACGAGGCAGCGAGCCACGCCGGGACTTACTTCGATCTCCTCAATCTGTAATTTGTCTTCAATCTTCTTGTATGTGTTAAATGAAAATATTGGAGAAGGACTGAAGAAGCCATATTGAACTGCCAATCAGCGCACTCGGAGCTGCGATCTATGACGGACTGGGATACATGACTGTGGTCGCTATGTATCTTTTGAACATTCGGACGAGTTTCAGCCTGAGTTTACTGCTGGGAAAGGTAGGCTGATAGTCGAGAATCTTATTTCAATGTAGTACAATTGGTTGACGAAACTCTGCGCTATCAATTTTGATGAGCTTGAACCGCATTGTGACCCGGAATAATACTCGCGATAGCCAGTATTCGTTCATGCGGTGCTACTGAATGGCGCTAAAACTGGACAAATCCTAGGCAAACGACGGCAGTTGACACGCGAAGCTGGACTGGGGTCTTAAATTGGTGGGGAGTTTCCTTGACGTTGCTTCAACTTTAAATGGTAGGTATTGCATTCTTCCAAATAAACCGGGGCCCCTAGCGACACGGCGTTGTGGGGAGCCTGTCAGAACGTCCGAATTTTTGGAGAATAGAACGACCGCCAACGTCAACTGAATATCCAACATGTGGAAGCCGCACGTGGCTAGGGCAAAGGAGACTGTTATCATCAGGTCGCTGACAGGCGTTTTCCGACTCTCGCTACTCGAGGTACACTAGAAGACGTCTGTATTTTGGGGGTACAGCCGGTTGCATTGTTTGGTGACTCTGTTTGTGCAACGTTAGCAGTTCCAAAGTAAACATTGGCGCTTGGGATTCCGTTTTGCATCCAGTTAAGATTTGTTTATGGACATGGTACGATAATATACGGTTCTTAGCATGACGCACTCCGTTCTCTTTGGTTGCTGCTTCGCAGAGTTTATACTCGTTTGTTCATGTACGCATTGCCGAATGTCCACAGACCGAATGTCGCCAGAATGCTCAGTCCAATGGGAAGCAGCTTGCCGGACTTGATCGCGCGAGGAATTGAGCTACCCGCAAGAATGACAGAAGCGAGAAGAGCCAACTCGACACCGTAGGCTGCGCGGCTGTTGACGCGGTAGCCACCGAGCATATACTGTTGACTATGTTAGACGCGCTGGAAGTGATAAGTAGTAGGATCGGTGCATACCAGAAGTCCAACAGTACATCCAGCTGCGATTGATGGCACGGAGCCAGTCCTCACGTAACCGGTGATACCGCCACCAGCAGTAAGAGCACCAAGGATGAGAGCGATGTTTCCTAGAGACTTGATTGTCCAGTCAGCATGCATCCATTTACATCATGACTCGTGTATAACAGCGATTGGTGGTGTTGCTCACCATTGTCACGTTGGTCTCTACTATGTAGTTTTTCAAGTGATACAGTGAAGTCTGGGTAAAGGTTTCGATATTTAGAGGGTGAAAAAAACAAACTGAAGCAGTAGAAGTTTCTCGTCGAATGCTTGGAGATGGCTGGGCTAAGTGAATGATGGCATTTGCGGCGGGGATTCGCGGACACCCGAAGAAACCGACGCCGACTCGTAATCCCCAGCTTGGACCAACCACGAACATGTGGCCTCAAGCTATCCACCACGGGCATCACCACCGCGCGTCATCTTCAATATCCCACAAACGCCCACCACTTGACGTTTACCGTTGAAGCTCCCCGACAATGGCCCCGAAACAGCGCACCACTGCCTCGGCTGACGCTCCTTCCACAACCACCAGTGCCCCGGCACCCGTACGATCAACCAAAGCCAAAGCAAACAACACAGACGCAGCAGCCATTGCGCAAGGAGTATGGGATAAATACGTCTCCAAGACACCCCAGCGAACAAAGCTTCTCGACACCTTCCTTGCGTTCCTCGTTATTGTCGGTGCTCTACAATTCCTCTATGTAGTCTTGGTTGGAAACTTTGTACGTTGCCTCTTATCCCTACTTCGCAACGTCCTACATCACGCATGTAAAGGTACAGAATTAGAACCGTTGGCTAATAATCTCCGACAGCCCTTCAACGCTTTCCTTTCCGGCTTCAGCGCAACAGTCGGTCAATTCGTCCTCACAGCCTCTCTGCGCATCCAGACAAACTCGGAGAACAAGGTGCACTTTGAGAACATATCGCATGAGCGGGCTTTTGCAGACTTCATCCTTGGCAGCTTGCTACTGCACTTTTTCTGTGTGAACTTTATTAACTGAGCGGGAAGCGCAGGGAAGGGTTGCAAGAGAGTCCCAATACCAAGCAGAGTGGAAATGGAACCTGCCTGTCTGTCGGTATCAAGGCGTTGCGCAATGTACTAAAGGGTTTACAAAAGGAAAGCCTAGGGATTGAATATCTGTAAGAGTACTAGAGATATGGACGAGGCGTGGACAGCCTTGGTTTCGGCAGTGACATGTATGTTGAAAGAATCATCCTGCTATACTCCGAAACAATTACCACCGAGTCAATGCAACACCTCGACTGCTCAAGTCAATTCCCATCTCAATTTCCCATCAAGTCTCTCTAGCATACATAACCAGCCCAAACTCCTCCCTAACTGCCTCCCCTAATCGCCTGATCCCCTCCTCGATTTTCTCCCCTGGCGCCGCCGCATACGTAGCCCTGAAAAACAACGTGTCATGCTTCTCCTCCGCATCCGCATAGAACCAACTGCCCCTCATGACTAGCGCCCCATGGTCAATAACGCGCATAAAAATACTCTCCTCAATACTCTCAATGCTCTTCTCAGGATAACTGGGATGTTTTCTGAAATCAATTTGCATCCAGTGGAACATGCCAGCCATGGGTGGTTTCCAGCTCATAACTTCAGTGGGTAGGTACTTTGTGCATGCGGAGAGGATTATGTCCCGACGGTGTGTGTATTGCATGCGCATGTAGATCAGCCAGTCCAGGTACCCGGCGTGACCCCAGTGTTCATCTAGGAGCTTGAAGAGAATGAGTTGGGACATGCCAGCCGGATTCTGCGTCGATACATCAGCATATTTGGAATACCGTTCTATGACTTGGGCGGGGGCAGTGATCCATCCGACTCGCGAACCAGGCGCGATGACCTTGGAGAACGAGTCCATGCGGATTACGCGGCCGTCTGTGTCGATGGAGAGGTAGCTTGGAACGAGGGATTTGATGAAGTCTGCGTGGGATGCTGGTGGGGGAATGGCAGGAGCGTTGGCGCCGGTGTAGGGTTGCATCTGGAGGAAGTAGTATGGTTCGTCTTCTAATATGTGGATGTCGTGCTTTTGGCAGACAGCATAGAGGGCATGCCGGCGCTCTGCACTTTGTGTTGCTCCGGTAGGGTTCTGACCTGTAGGCACTGTGTATAGGAGATGGGGCTTCCGCGCCCCTCGAGCAGCTTGGTCCCAGTTTGTGAGGAGCGAGTCCATCTCAGTAGGGAGAAGTCCTTGGTTGTCGATTGGGACCCCGCAAACGCGTACGCCCAACGGTCGCGCGGTCTCTACAAAAGCAGAGAAAGTGTACTCTTCTGATAGAATCATGTCACCAGGTCTGGTGAGCATTCTAAGGAGCATGTCAGTCGCTGATGTGCTTCCAACTGTCATGGTGCATTTCCAGTCTTGGTACGGCGGATCGTGTATCAGTTCAGTGTGTTCAGTCATGAAGCGTAGAAGCTGTGCTGAACCAGATCCCTGGCCGTAATTGAACGCAGTAGCGATATCAAAATTGGACTTGTTCTCAGCAAGGTCATGTTTGCCTGCAGTGATGGTCACGCCGGATTCCCTAGTTTCGGCTTCTGAGAAGTGGCCGATCTTGGGCACTTTGATCGATAGCTCTTCGAAGGGAAAGTACTCGCTGGATGGTAAACCGCCGCCGAGGGAGATAATTCCAGGTGTGCCGAGATACTTTGCGGCCTCTTTGAGAGAGTTGCCTTTGCGGATCGTTGCTTCATGGCTCATGATGTCTAGAAAGGCATAATTAGTGTCTGGCTCTTCGTGAAGACTGATTTGAAGTGGGAAGAACGTACGGCTCCATTGCTTGGCTTTGGGCTTATGGTCATGCGACTTCAGTCTGAAGTTTGCAGTATCCGATGGCGCCGCTACGCCCCATTGAGCTGCAGTTGTCTTCTTCCTCCTTCCATGAATTTCATTGCTCTGAACTGGCGCACTCAGCGGGTTTGGGATAGTAACTCCAGACGTGTCTGAAACTGCTGATACTTCGACAGCTGAAGGCGGCGACATCTTTGACGATAGATTGATGATGGGCGTAATCTGGACCTCGTTTGTTCAACGTTTTCTTTGTTTCCTGTCTTCAGACCTTAGTGCAGCTTACCAAGGACTTAGCAACGACCTTGAAAGCTGATAAATTATTTGGGTGTAATAGAAGTTGATTGTTTGAGATACTCAAGTCTTAAACTTCACTCGGTCGAACTAAACTATCAGCTATCGGTTATCATACGCCCTACATATGTAGTCTAAGGCGTGTAGGTGGAGCCGCGAACATGCACCTGCATCATGCCTACCATTTCGGGTAGCGGCTAGCCACGGTCTGGGGAAAGCAAAGCGTGCGACTCCACAAGGAACACGTGCCAAAGCCATACAGACAGCTGCGTGTTACACAATTCACGCCCTTTGCTTGTACGTTGTTTGCCGCACACGATCCCTTTCATGTGGCCTGGAACGCAGTCTAAGCGGATCGTTGCAAAGAGTGGGCCATGGGAATTAGGTACCGAGAGTATCGTATAGAGCGGACACGAACGGACTATTGTGAGGTTGAAGCTACGTAAGGTCCTGCAGGAATTGACCAATCGGCGCTTTTATGGCAACTACGTTATCACGAGATGCGTTCGTGGCAACAAAGCCGTCGACACCCGTGCTGAACACACATCTGATCTTACATACTCCGGTTCCAGAAGTTTTAGCCTGCGCTAACCAAGGGTTCGTCTGACAGGTACTCAATGTTAAATCTGCGATAGAAACAATCTTGTCATTAGCACGAATGTACGACGGATACGTGGAGATAGACTACAAGCTTTGTCACCATGTAGGCCTATCATAGAATACAGTCATTCGTACAACGATAGCACATAGTCAAGGCTCCTGGTACCATCATCCGTTTTGTTTTTCCACTGATCTCAGCTGTCCTCAAAATTTAACTCTATTCTGCATGCTATGACGAAGCTGCAAACACGGTCGATATGCTACCACCAAAAGTGCGGAAAGATTTCGACGCTCAAATCCCGAGCGGTGATATGCAAGAGTAATGCATCACAAACGCCGTATATGCACATCCCCCCCATATTAAAAGAACTACCGCCATATCCATTGTTGAATGGCGGATACCACCAACCCATACACATGCAAGAGAAGGAAAAACAGATCGCGAATCGGGTATAAGAGAAAATACAATAGAAGCATGGACGGAAAGAATCAACAACACGCCCCTCTTCACATTACGACGCAGTTTTCGTCTTTTTCTTTGACATCCTTTTCCTTGCTGACTTTCTCTTTCTTGAGTTTGCCTTTATCAGTGTTGGTTTTTGCTGGAGCGTGTGATTGCCCGGATGCGGCAGCTTGAATAATGGCAAGGCGCTGCTTCGCCCGCTCGTCGCCAGAGTCTGCGGCTTTGACATACCAAACATTTGCCTCTAGAGGATCCCTCCGGCAGCCAATGCCCATTTCTGTGAAATATCCACAGGCATACTCGGCTCTTGGAAGACCTGAGAGAATTAGCATGATTAACCTCTACGAATATTGACAGACTCACCATGCTCCGCAGCTTTCTTAGCCCACTCATACGCCTCGTTTTCGTCCTTCTCCAGGACTGGTTCGGCACCGACCATATACCACGCACATAGGTTCATCATGGCTTCGGGGATATCGGCCTGGGCAGCACAATTGTAATAGTGAACGGAGAGTGCAGCATCTTTAGGACAGCGTAGCAAGCCATGTTCGTAAGCTTCGCCTAGCTTCAAAGCAGCTAACGGATGTCCCAACTCAGCAGATTGTGTGAAGAGCTGCACTGCGTACACCTCGTCCTTGAAGATGTCGTCCCCGAAGCCCGTCTCGTGCAGCAGACCAAGCTCATACGGCGCAATGTTGTATTGAAAGTCGGCTGATTCAGTAGCTCGCTTAAGCCATTTTAGTCCTTCCCTGTACTTGTTCTGAAGGCCCATATCGCCTGTCAAACAAGCCTTTCCAAGCCGTGTCGCAGCTCCTGGGTGGTTCTTCGATGCTGCAGCGCGGTAAAACTGAACAGCTTTGGCGTAGTCTTTGCGGCAGCCCCAACCAAACTCATAACAGAGTGCGGCACGGAATCCTGATTCCGCGTGTCCATGCTTACTAGCAGCTACAAAGAGTGGAAATGCGCGATCGTGATCCGGCTTGTCCTTGTTGAACAGACCTGACGCATATCCATCTGCAAGGTAGTACTGTGCAAACGGATAGCTGCGGGCGGCTAATCTCTCAAGAATCTGTCGTGCTTCCTTTAGCAATTCTGTGGGGTTCATGCCGTGGTCATCACTGTCATTTTCCGACCCCAGAATCTCGCGGGCTACTTGTACCATGAACAGCGCGAACTCGTATTGCACTGCGGTATCCGCTGTCTTCTTGACGTTCGCCCTGTACATTTCCAGCGTCTTCTTCTGGTTAAGCAGGGAAGCATTCTGCCCCACAGCGCCCCGCAGAGCTGCATTACCAAAGTTGGCTGCAGGGGCGACTTGCTGGTTGTACGGTAGATTGGTCAGATCGATGTAAGACGACTCCGGCCTGACGTCGGGAGAACGGCGGCTGATTGAGATGGGGCGGGCATAAGGATTAGGTGATCCGCTAGGTGACGGGGAGGTTCCATACACTGAAAGGCGCGGGGATTCTGTACGACCTCGCGCATTCAGTTCCGAGCCCAGGGTGTATGCAGAGCTGGGTCTAGGCACCGTGCTACGCGGGACTTGCAGCTCCCCCTCTTGCGGATGGGTGTTGAAGTAGCTGTTGCGCCCACTGTTATTCGAAGAGTGCTGCGACCCAGCCGTCGGCGATTGTGCGGTCTCGCGGGGAGAATGTGCTGCAGCCGGCGGGGTCGGTTGGTTCCGGTAGGATACGGGCCGGTATTGCTCCTGGGGAGTGTATATGTTGTCTGCCTCATCTTGAGCCCTTGCGACGTCCATTTCCGCGAATTGTGAGAATCGACTACTGTACGATCCGTTGCTGATATGCAGCTGTCTAAAGGCAATCTCTTGCGCGGGGGGAATTGAGCTTCCGGAGAACCGATACTCGAGGTCTGGTGTTTCTATGTCTCGCGACGGCGTCCTTGAATGGCCGTCGGAACTTTGGTTGAAGGAAGATCCGGACTGTCTCGAATCGCGTCCTCCTGCCGCTGTGGTGTTGTGCTCGGTAATACTGAACGAGGGTGTGGAAGAGTGTCGCGTGGTGGGCGGTTTGCGATGCTGGAAACTACCCGAGGCGTTCAAGTCAGGACGATGTGCGCCGTAGGCTTCTTCGTCGGCGGGGACGGGTGGCAAGGCCCTCGATGGTGGTGTCGAAGCAACCTGGGACATCGCTTCGAAAATGGCGTCCCCCTTCCTTGGATCTCTGGTGGCAGTCTTATGTCCGCCTAAGTCCTGACTCGCTGCAACGGCGGGGCTCTAAGGTGGTGGTGCAGTCTTAGTGACAAGCAAACCGACGCATGCGATAACGAGCCGTCTGCTGTGTGGATCTTTGCTGCTCCTACAATCAATTGTTAGCAACTTGAGTTGCGGTGTGACGACTGGTTGTAACAAATGTTTGCCAACCTCGGCCATAGCAGGATGCGTACCCTGGGGCCTGGGATGATGATCTACGGTACAGATGAGGATTAGACTCACTGGAAGCGGAGTGTAAGGGTTCGCGGCAGTTGGACCCTGAACGTTGCGCTCGAAAAGTGCGAATAGTCTTTTAAATGAACCCTCGACTCGGTTCATACAAAACGCAGGGCAAGTGCACGGTACGAGGGCTGTAGACGCTTTTTGAAACCCCACTCGATGCCGACTCTCGTATAGAATGGCGAATAGTGGACTGAGTGGATTGAGTGGACTGGGCGGCAGAGGCCGGCTTGCTGAGGAAGCGAGATGGTGTGTGTGACCAGCATGAAACACAAGCACTATCGATCTATTCGGTAAGATCCGAAGGGGCGCAGAGAATCGATGGCGGCTCACGGGGGAAATATTGGCAAATGCGGAGGAGGTTCTGCATGGGCGCGGATGTGCATCGGTATTTGACTACTGGGCCTGGGCTGGGCGCTGCTTGAGACACGTACGCAGTGAGCATCAGGAAGGTGGCGTCATTCACGATGGAGACACTATCTTGTCATGCTCCAAATGTTATTAATCACAGGTGGTCGAGCAGACGCGTTGAGGCTTCATTGTACCTCGATGCGGACAAAGAATCACTTGTCCAAGCCATCACCACCCCACCGAAGTTTCCGCGGCTATCGAATTCTATACATGTGACAAATCCCAGCTAGGTAATTAACCGTCTCTGCCAATTCGCGCGAGTGGAGCTACCGCTCTGCAGGGCTTAGGATGGAGACATGGAATGATGTGGAGCTGTGTGAAGAGACCCTGACTCCACGCGTTCAAAGCTGTCACTCAGCTTGCTGCAAAGCACGAGGCGTCAGGCGGAAATTCGCTGCCAAAGCTCAGCGCAGGTCCACTCGTATATATTGAAGAAGGATAGGGCACAATCCCTGATGATTTTAGGCAACTCATGACAGGCGCGCCGTGTTAATGTATGCGGGAGTGTGTACCGCCCACCGCTCTCGGCGCCAATAGTGAAGATGGACTAAGAAGCCAACTCGGCGCATGCCTCCTTTATACATTGGTGTGGAGGATGTGTTGAGACACTGTCCAGACCATAGAAAAGGAGAAGTGAGGTTAGTCGATAGGGAGGTTGATACTATGGCGATCTAGGGCTCGGTAACCGTTTGGCTGCAGGATTTGGTGCATGCAGGGGTTCCGCCATGTAGCATCCATGGATCGTTCGCAGGCAAGGGGCACTGAGGTGTAACAGCGACATGTGAAGGGAGAGGCAGCTAGATGCAGTACGACGGAGAATTACAACAGAGAAGCGTACTGGAAGACGAGGCTGTCAATGGCGATTGTCATTGATCGCGAGGGTGGAAAATCATCCCGTGTTTATGTACGCTCTAGCGATAGGCCTGGTGCTAGTGGCGGAACAGAATCCCCAAAATAGCATCCACCCCTTGCCAGCTTCGCCCCCATATGCCATCGCTCTAGCAACACCTATTGTGTCGCCCGGGGTCTCGTCGGTTTTCCTCGTCGCTCGTTAGGACCGTCTTTCACTACACCCTTTGGTTTTTTGCTGCAGCGCACTCGCTCCTGCTGCACACGGCCACCACTCGTTGCAAAAAAGGAAACCACGATCCACCGCCATTTACAACGACTCTAACGACTACCCCAAGCCCGCACTCTATCTTATATGCGATCGCCATCCCCATAGAACCGCTATACACATTCTTCCCGGGCCGAAACGAGCTCCGCGCTACAGCCCCACTGTGTAACAACAGCTGAGGTCACAACCTCACGTACATGTCTCTACCGCAGCGACCCGAGGAGTCGTCGCCGCCTCGACGAGGCGAGCGGCGACATGCGCACCGAGACTCGCACCACCGCAGAAGGAGGACTTCGGATCTGGAGAACACACGGTCGCACGACCGCTCCAATAGCAAGGGCGGCACCCAGGCCTACTCGCGCGCGCTTCCCTCGCCCGGCACCCCCGTGCCCATGGAGCGCGATCCCATAATGAGAGGCCAACCGAAACCATCCGAGCCCGAGTTGAACAGGAAGCGCAGTCTTATCCGACCTGAACGCCAGCGAATGGACCCGAGCCATCCGAACTATCACTACCGCAAACATGCTCAGCGCATGGACGTCCACCCATCGACGACGGGTAACGACCCTATCCTAGAAGACCACCTCGAGGCAGAGACTGTCAGCTCAGACAGCACTGACATCAAGCCCCCGCATATGCGAAATGCCTCCGGCGGAGGGTACAACGACAAGCAAGCTCCGATGGACGACGGGGAGCCACGGATACAACGCAAGCTGACGAGCAAGACAATGGAAGCACGTGAGAAGCAGCGTCAGAAGGAGCAGGACAAGCTACGACCACCTAGTCTGTGGAATGTCTACTGCGCTATCGTTACTTTCTGGTGTCCGAATGCCATCTTGAAGTGCTTTGGAAAGCCGCAGAAGGCGCAGCAGCGAGCATGGAGAGAGAAGGTCGGACTAGTCAGCATCATTTTACTCATCTGCACGTTCGTTGGATACCTCACATTCGGTTTTACGGAGACTGTGTGCCCATCTGGCGGCAATGCTCGCCTTAGGACAAACGAAGTCGGAGGTGGATACCTGATCATTCACGGCAAAGCCTACGATCTCGCTCAGTCTAAGCACCCGCGCGCTCGCGGCATCCCCCAAGACGCAAACGTTCTCTTCGATCTTCCAGAGAAGAACGGCGGTAAAGACGCTAGCTTCTTGTTCCAGAATGTCAATGGAGCTTGCAAAGGACTCATCACTGAAAAGGAAAACTCTGGCATTCCCACAAGTGGTAATGGCGATCTGGGCTGGTACTTCCCGTGCCGTCTGTTCAACCAAGACGGGTCGACCAAGCCCAATACGACCTTCTTGGAGTACAACGGTTACCAGTGTCATACCTCGGACAACGCTCGTAGAGCCTTCTACAGTCTGCGAAACGCCGGCGACGTGTACTTTACCTGGGATGACATTCGCAACAGTTCTAGGAACCTCATGGTATGGGGCGGTGATGTATTGGACCTGAACTTGCTCGACTGGTTCAACCGGACCCAGGTTAATATTCCACCTCTGTTCGATGAGATTCGTCAGAATCCCTCTGTTCGTGGCGTAGACGTTACCCGTGCGTACTCATCCAGCTATGAGAAGCAGGTAGCTCGTTGCTTTACCGAAACCATCAAAGTCGGCTCCATCGATACGGAAAGCATTGGCTGCATTGCTTCCAAGGTCGTCCTCTATGTGTCGCTAGTCTTCATCTTGGCTGTTGTTATGGCCAAGTTCGTCCTCGCCCTTCTCTTTCAGTGGTTTATCTGCAAAAAGTTTGCTGCAACCAACACATCCATTTCTCCCGCGGACTCCAAGCTGCGAAAGCAGCAGATCGAAGAGTGGAGTGACGATATCTATCGCCCGCCACCAAAACTCATGGATCCATCTTCCGGCTCTGACCGCAGCAACAAGCGTGGCAGTACTTTCCTGCCACAGACTTCGAGGTTTACCAGCCCTTACGCGGTTGACAAGAACGCAAAGACCCGTGCCCCACCGACGACTATGACGAGCCAGAGCACGACATCTCGCATCCTGGGATCGAACAGTGGTATGTACAAGCAACTGAATGCCAGTCAAGGCACCATGCCCTTGGACGGAAAGCACAATGCGCAGTTCTCAACACAAGAGTCTCGGTCTAGTCTACTTCTTTCTGGGCAGACCGACACCAACCGCTACTCAAGTGTCGAAGGCTCTGGACCCGCAGGTTTCACACACGAAGCTGTTGTACCTCAGCCTCCACCAGAATGGCAACCTTTTGGATACCCCTTGGCGCACACCATCTGTCTTGTCACCGCGTACTCTGAAGGTCCCGACGGACTGCGAACTACACTCGACTCTATCGCTACCACGGACTACCCTAATAGCCACAAGTTGATTCTCATTATTTGCGACGGTATGATCAAGGGTCATGGAGAAGATTTGACAACGCCAGAGGTCTGTCTTGGTATGATGAAGGATCACGCGGTATTGCCCCACGAGGTCCAGGCGCATTCATACGTCGCAGTCGCTAGTGGTTCGAAACGACACAACATGGCCAAGATCTACTCGGGATTCTACGACTACGGCGAGACGACCCGCATTCCTGTCGAGAAGCAACAACGTGTTCCCGTATTGCTAGTCGTGAAGTGTGGCACACCCGATGAGGCCAAAAAATCGAAGCCCGGCAATCGTGGAAAGCGAGACAGTCAGATCATTCTCATGTCGTTCCTGCAAAAGGTCATGTTTGACGAGCGTATGACGGAGCTTGAATTCGAAATGTTCAACGGTATCTGGAAGATCACTGGCATTTCTCCCGATTTCTACGAGATAGTACTCATGGTCGACGCCGACACAAAGGTTTTCCCTGACAGCTTGACGCATATGGTCTCAGCCATGGTAAAGGATCCAGATATCATGGGGCTCTGCGGCGAAACAAAGATTGCCAATAAGCGGGATTCGTGGGTCTCCATGATCCAGGTGTTTGAGTAAGTGCTGCCGCCATGTTTTACAATCGCGCCACTAATTGTGATAGATACTTCATCTCCCATCACTTGGCCAAGTCATTCGAATCAGTCTTTGGTGGTGTTACTTGCTTGCCGGGTTGTTTCTGCATGTACCGCATCAAGGCTCCCAAGGGTGGTCAGAACTACTGGGTGCCGATCCTGGCTAATCCGGATGTTGTTGAGCATTACTCCGAGAACGTGGTTGATACGCTGCACAAGAAGAATCTGCTACTACTGGGTGAGGATCGGTACCTGTCGACGCTGATGCTCAAGACGTTCCCCAAGCGAAAACAGGTTTTCGTCCCGCAAGCCGTTTGCAAAACCGTTGTACCGGACGAGTTCAAAGTTCTGCTGTCACAGCGCAGACGATGGATTAATAGTACGGTCCACAACCTGATGGAGCTTGTGCTAGTGCGAGATCTGTGTGGCACCTTCTGCTTCAGCATGCAGTTCGTTGTGTTCATCGAGTTGATCGGAACCCTGGTTCTCCCAGCCGCCATTGCTTTCACATTCTACCTAAGTAAGCCTCCGTACTCCACTATGAAGCTTCGGCTTTGCTGACCATGTCTAGTCGCCATCGCTATCAAAGCCGCTGTTCTCCACACAGAAGCTCCCGTCATACCCCTTATCCTTTTAGCGCTCATTCTTGTTCTCCCCGCCATTCTCATCATCGTAACAGCCCATCGGTGGTCTTACGTCGCTTGGATGTTCGTCTATCTGCTGTCATTGCCTGTTTGGAACTTTATCCTTCCGACATATGCGTTCTGGAAGTTTGACGACTTCAGCTGGGGAGATACTCGAAAGACGGCAGGCGAAAAGACGAAAAAGGCAGGCTTGGAGTATGAAGGAGAATTCGACAGTAGCAAAATCACAATGCGCAGGTGGCATGATTTTGAAGCAGGTAAGGAACACAACTTCTCGCGATAATGCTGTCGCTAACGCTGGGCACCAACAGAACGGAGACTCAAGACACCAGCGGCGACATCGGCTGGTGGATGGCCACAGCACCAACAACAACAGGGTTACGACCAGTATTATGATAATTAGTTTCGCATCGTGGCGTCGTGTAGGAAGGACTGCATCTGTACTACATGATTTGCTGCATTGCTACGATGTCCGTTTTAGCAGGCCATTTCTGTCATTATTATGAGTTTGTAGAATTTTTACTTCACTGTCGGGGTCACATAGGCATCTCGCTCTAGTAATACATCCTTACCGCATGCTGTCAGCTCTCGCGAGACTCAGCATGTCATGATCAAACAGTACTGAGGTGAATGATCTCGCATCACTGTTCCTGTATCGTTTTACAGTCTCAAGATGTGTCTTGTGCTTCCAGCGTCTGCGTAAGATGGGCCCTGAATCGACGGCATTTCCCTGGAGCGATCAGTGGCTTACTGTCGTGGAGTGCCAGCACCGTTGTCCAGAGGCGGGACGGCTAGGAGAGACAAAAACGGCATTTGAGCCACAGTCTGGGGAGGCGCGGTGGGGAAAGACGTTTGATTTGTTCCACCAATTCGCCGTGCAACTATGGGCCAGCGCTCAGCGCGTCACCTTTTGGCCCCAGACGATGAGCTTAGCGAAGCTGGTGTGCTGCCTGTGTCCCAAAAGGGGCCTGACAAGAGCAGGTGTGGGCCTGGATGTCTGACGTTGAGTGGCCACTGCATTCTCGTTGTCGGGTCTTGGCTCCAGAAGGTTGTCGTGTTGGCAGTGCCATGTGAGTTGTGTGACTGTCCGCGGGCACGCCATGGCCGCTTAACCCTGAGCGCCTGGTGACAGCGTGGAGATGAGCAGCGTGAATACACAGATCTAATGTCTGGAGATCTCTGAGATGGTGGAGTCGCTAGTTAGGCTTGGGGGTGGGTGGCTGTCCGATCCCCCCGTGTTCAGTCTAAACTAAAGGGCCCGCGGAGGGTGGGATACGAATATTCGGCAGGCTTCACAGACGGCGTATATATCTGACGGAAGTGTAAGTTCTAGGAGCCGTTGGACGCACATAGCCATATCCATTATCATCACGGGAGCTGACCTGCTTGCCCTGCAGCCCAGCCCAACTCTCCCGCAGCCAATGCCCATCTAGGGCTCTGGCAGGAGCGACCCCACATTTAGCCAGGACGTGTCTCCCTTCGCATGCAGCGCCTCGGGTAGTTGACAGACAGATCGAGTGCAGAGAGGCGACCTAGTCAGCCTGCGACGCGACGGTACTAGCCCATCAGCCGCTACATATTTGCTGTATTCTGCCTGTCTCGCTGCGCCGAGCCTATGCTTTGGCCTAGTCACCTTTCCCCCCACGCCAGACAAGCCTATACCTTGCGCCGCAACGCCTCTCTACAACTACATCAGTCGACCGTCTCGTCGCATACGCACAAACGACAAAACCCTGCCTCGGCGGCCCCGCTGCACTGGTTATCAGGCGGATAGCGGGCGTCGATGGCCAGCATGCACAACTGGTCCGCGCCACACTCGACGACACCGCATCTCACAACACCGCCGTCGCAATCGCATCCGGACTATGGAGACTGGCCGCACTCGCCCAGCGCATTGGCTGCTGCTGTAACTCTTGCGACTCTCTCTGACGGCAGACCGGCCGATGACGACGGCGACGACGATGACGAGGTGGAGGACGACGATGACGATGGCGGGGGAATATCGCTAGAAGACTACCAGCAGTTTATGGAAACCATGCCTGGGCCACATGGAGCAGGAGAGGGAGATATCGACGATGAAGACCCATCGCTGGATGAAGGAGGCACGATTGAAGACATGTTTGGCCCAATTCACCCGTCATATATTACATACAACGCTATCGACATGTTTGATCAAACATCCAGCATCCCTCACCACCTGCACACATCCACCACATACATCGCCGCGCCAATGGCTATAGGGGCCCAAACAATACACCTGCCATATGGTGCTGATCCATTGCTCGAGCCGCCACCCACGCTCAATGAGCCGCATCTGAGCATCCAGGATAGGGCAGCCTTTTGTCCCATCACTTCCTACTTCCATCGTTTCTTTGGACATTTCAAGCCCGTCGTTCCTGGTCTGGACCTCGTGCAGGTGCCGGATTTTATTAGTCGAGAAGACCTGAAGGGCGACGAATATGACTACCAGGGCATCGACTGGACGAAACGCAATGTACGTTCTCACATTCTGATGCCTATATTGGCAGTTGCGAGACAGCGTCTAGCAATCTTCTGCCTATGCATATGCAAAAAGCAAGAAATCTTTAAGCTAACACTTTGATAGACTACACGTGCAGCGGTTCGTAAGGCGCGATCGCAGCACGAGCGTCAAAGAGTGCTGCATAGCGTCAAAGCAGTTCGGAAGTATATCCATTCAACACCCAACACAGACAGCTTCTTTCAGTTTCGGAGGATCAACACCAAGCCCCGTGCCTTCGTACCTCACTTCCAGTTGCGAAACATAGTGACAGCTACGTCCCGCAACGATGTCTATTATGCCAAAGGTCACCAAGTACTCCACACGGACGCTGAAGGTGTGACCGAAGACGTCGTCGCAGATCTCAGCAAGCATCTAGCTCCTGATGCGTCAATAACCACCATTGCATCACACGGCGATGTACTTATCGCCGGCGCTTTTGAAGGCGAGTACGCAATCGCAAACCTTGCTTCCACCCAAGGCTCGGCCTATACCTTCGGTCGCACCTCGGACTTTGCAACAGACACAAAGTCGCGGATAGTCAACCACATGCATCTATTCTCCTCACGGCGGACGTACACCCCCCAAGCCGTCCTATGTTCCAACGACCACCACCTCCGCGTCCTGGACTGCGGAACCAACACGCTCATCCACTCATTCCAATACCCAGCAGCAGTCAATTGCTCAGCAACGAGTCCAAATGGCCGCATGCGTGTCGTAGTTGGCGACTTCCAAGAAACGCTCATCACAAACGCAGAAACAGGCCAGGCATTCGAAACATTAAATTCCCACACCGACGACGCTTTCGCCTGTGCCTGGGCAGACGATGGCATCCACGTCGCAACCGCCGCCCAGGATTCCACCATTGTCGTCTGGGACGCGCGGTACTGGGAGAAGCCATTGGCTGTCATGAAGAGCGAACTGAGTGTCCCACGGTCTCTGCATTTCTCACCCATTGGCTCTGGACCCCGTGTTCTCGTTGCAGCTGAAGCAGACGACTTTATCAATATTATTAACGCGCAGACATGGGAGTCAAAACAGGTCTTCGACTTCTTTGGCCCCGCGGGTGGTGTCTCGTTTACGCCTGATGGGCAGTCTCTGTTTATCGCTAACGGAGAGAGACGGTTTGGCGGTATCATCGAACTCGAACGTACGGGTTGGGCGGATAAGACGGGCAGGCGGGGCAGTTTCGATGACGAGCACCAGGAAGATATTGTCACAGATTGGGTGGGAGATGGTGCGCTGGATGCTGACGGCCGAGTTTTGGCTGGCCATGTGCAGAGACAGAGGCGACACGTTGATTTGAGCGGTATTATTGTGTGACGGGAATACTGTAGATGTCTAAAACTTGCTCTATGGGAGGTAATGGCCTTTTTTTTTTGGCTGGCGTTTTGTTTTGTTTTCTTTTTGCAGAGATGGCATGGCATGGGCTGGGAATGGAAGATACCACGGATTGGGCGGGCATATGGGAATGGTGTTTAGCAAGTATAGATTACTAGTGTACTGCATGACTATCTGATTTATGTTACAATAGATTCTTTTTTTCCTTTGGTGCACCGTGATAGTCTATAAGCAGGAATGACGGGAACTCATGGCATGTTGGTCGATGTGGTATCATTATTCTTTTTGGTTACATTCCGTATCTGTCCAACATAAAAGGCACAGTTGCATCATCGGCTAGCCGCCCTTCTTTCCTGCCTAGCAAATCCCAATCTCATGCTCGTAATCGCCGCAACGCCTTCGGAATGGAATATTCAGATGACCAATTAACGCCGTCAAATGCAATTTTTTTCCAGAAGCTTAGACGAGGAGAACGGCGTTCAAGCAACCGTCGTTCTCGGGGTTGTTGGTGATTTGTGCATAGCGACCCCAGACGACCTTTCCTCCAGCAGTTACGAGACCAAGTTCCGAGACGTTTACTTCGATGATGGTACCCTTGGTTAGAACACCCAGCTGCGTGTACATGGGTTGCTGAGGGTTCTTCTTTACGGAGCTGTGAAATGTTAGCTATGCTCGTCTGTCATTAATGCGTGAAGACACTTACATGATGGGCAGCTGGACCGTAACGTTCAGTTCAGGATGTGTCACGTTGGCCTTCTTGTAACGCAATCCCATGGGCCTGATGAAGCGCTCGTACTTGACGGGTCTACGCGTGAAGCCAGGACCGACGAAGGTAGGCTTGGTGATCATACGCTTCCAGCTCTTCTTCTTCGTCTTCTTTCCCGTCTTGACAACCGAGAACATTTCCTCCTCGGAAATACCCTTGACCTTGGGCAGGGGAACCGAGAACCGGGCTGCCTTTTCATTACGCTTCTGCTTGATGGCGGAAGAGAGGGCCTTGGCATTCTTCTCGTTGCTGCGGTCCAGCAGGTATGCGGGGAGCGCGTCGGTGGCTGGCTCAGGTGCTTCGTTGGATTTGACGTTGCGCTCCTCGTGTGCGCGGATCTTCTGCTTCATCTGAATCTTCTCCTTCCTGCGCTTCTCGGCGTACAACTTGGCCCTCAGACCACGGAAGTTTTGCGCCTTCTTGGATGCATTGTGTCCTTCACGGGCAATCTTCTTGCGTTGGCGCTCATCGTGATCGAAGCGCTTTCCGTGCCTGTTGCGACAGAGTTAGTGGAGTGTTCTTGGCACTGAGGCGCGAGACGCTGGTGGTGGGGTGCAGGATGCATGATGGGTGTAGACATACTGCTTCGTAAAGCGCTCGATATACTCGTTCTGAGGCATGGCGACTACCTCTGCGTGTGCTGGATCGTAAGGGTAGTGGTGGTAGAGTGGAGTCTCTTACAGCAGCGCCTTCCGCCTCCAAAAAGTTCGGCACTAGCCCCCACTAGCGCGATGCGGGCTGGATTCTTCAACATCGGACCTCCGCCGCATGACCAGAG